CAATCATGGTGTCTCTGCTCAGTTTCAGTAGAATTTGTGGGTCTGCAAATATTTTCCAATAGTTGTTTCATTGTTTTGACTTAAAGTTTAAGAAAAGCATGTAAGGCAGAGATGTCAAACTTGATTTCATTGAGGGCTGCATCAGAGTTGTGTTTGACCTTGGGGGGCGGGGGGGGGGGTGCGCATGGCCAGCTCAACTTCACTCATGTCAGGGACTCCTGTTGTGGCTCGAGTACTCTGCCAGCAAAATAAAACATGCATTTTCGGCTGCGACGGCCTCCTGCAACTGTCAGCAAAAATGGAGCTTAGAGGGCCTCACACAGTCCTCCTGAGCTCCATTTTCGCTGGCAGAGGTACTGCAGGCTGGTCCTTCACTTTTTCTAGGACAGCCCGCAGGCCAGATCTAAGCACCCCGTGGGCCAGATCTGCCCCCCAGGCCTTGAGTTTGACACCCCTGATATAAGGTGCGAGGAAGAATGTGGATTATCCCAATTGCTTGACTGGCTGATTAAATCAGTTAGCATGTGACTTATACCATGCATATATGGAGGTAGCCAATTATCTCCTAGCAGGAGAGAGACAATAATCTTTCTTCCAATAATTCTCCTTGACCAAGGAGATCTGCACAATTAGAGGGCAGTCTTTAAATATTCTAGGATTATCTTCCTAGAAAATGTGATCAAGATAAGTTTGACAGGTATTCTTATAAATGATATTGATTTGTTTAACCTATTTGAATCAGATTTCAGCAAGATATGGTTGCTGAAATTGCTAGGTGGTTTTGACGGATTATATTTTCTAGAAACTGCATGGGGGAGATTGTGTTAGTCAATCTTCCTCTCAGTTTTATACTTGACTACTGTATTCTTCTGAACTGCCAGTCAGGATTGAGCTTTGGCTGTGCTGTTTTACAGGAATCTAGTACTTTGTTCAGAACTATGTGACACAGATGACACTAATGGTCTATAATTAACTTATAGTCAATTGACCTGCAAGATTCCATTTTGGGCTCATCGATGTGACTATGTTGGCAAAGATTGAAATGAGGTCACTGTGTTGATGACATCCAGTTCAATTGCTCCTTTACCACCCATCTCCAACAAAAAGTCTTTGCCAAAGTCCAGTATGTAATGAGAATGACTGAATGTAAAATATTTTATAAAAGGTTTATAGTCTGGAAGTAATCCTTTATATTCCAACAGTCACTGGATTATTAGTAGGAAGCTGTGACAAGAAATGCATTTACACAATTATGCCTAGCCAACCATCATTTTTTTTGGTCCTATATTTAAAGAAAAGGCTTCCATGCTGTATTCGGGGCATATTTGCTATAAGCTCTCTATGGAAGCTATTGCTGCTATTGCCAAATGGATGGCACATTAGCCAAGCTTATGCTATTAATTTTCATTATCTGTTTATATGAAACTTATGAATCCTGATACTATGCTCCTCAGTTGCTATTTCCGCTATACTCTATCATTGCCTTCTTATAGAACAGTAAACTAGGTAGCAATAATATATTACATTGCATATACTAAGTACTCCTAAGTATGAAGAACGTGCACAAATTGTGATATAGGCTTTCTCTTTCAATTTGTATTCAAATATTGAAGTTTTGAAAATTTTGATTTAAAGGAGCATAAATTATATGCAAGATTTTTTTAAATTTTTTTATTGGTTTTTAAAAACATAAACAAACAAAACATAAAAACATCAACCTATCTTCCATAGGTGTACATACAGTGCGCTGGTTGGTTTACAAATTGTTTTGTGCTTCCATTTCGTAGTCTTCAATTACAATTACATTGCATATCTCATATTGTCAATCAAAAATTAAATACCTTAGTATCATTTATCAATCATTTGACTATACTTTTATTCATTTATGTTTTACATGATAATCATAATTTACTTAGTTTATTTTATAACAGTTCATATTATCCCAAATCTATCCTAAAATCATTTTGTAGATATAAGAAGTACATCTTTATACATTTATTATCTTCTAAAAGTCTACATATTTCATTACTGTATTTTATTGTCTAACCATTGATAGAAAAGATCCCAAATTTTATAAAGTTTATCCTCGTTCTCTAATTTCAAATGTCAATCTACTCATTTCAGCACATTCCAATATTTTCTTAATAATTTCCTCCTGTGATGGTATTTTCTCATTTTTCCAGTTTTTAGCAAATACAATCCTAGCCGCTGTTAATACATTTACAATCAGATATTTCAAGTCTTTACTATATATTTCAGGTAAAATTCCCAATAAAAATATCTCTGGTTTCAAATCTATGATTTTGCTATTGAAAAAAATCCTTTTCATTCGAAGCTTTCACTTAAAAGTGAAATATTTGATTCAGAAAGAAACATTTGGAATGGGTTGTTGCTCCCTCTGTATCAAGGGTGTCAAACTCATGGCCTGCGGGCTGGATGTATCATGTGCTGGCCCTGCCCCCATCTGGTTTAGCGAAGGGAAAAGAAGTCCCAATACATCACATGACAACACCATGATGAAGTGAGTTTGACACCACTGCTCTATATCGTTTTTTCAACCCTAAATCTTCCAAACCTGCTACTTGCATTTCTCAAAGCAAAAGGCTGTTTTCTATAAAAGCATGGCAAAACATAACTGTTCATCCTGAAGTATGTTTAGTGCTTTCTACAGATCACTGTATTTCATAAAGCAAAAGACAGTTCCTCTCAAGCCATGATTAGTGCTGCTCTCTGCTGCCCAAGTGTGGCATAACATATGTAATAAAGTGGACCACAAAATAATACATTTTTGTTTTCATTTGATCTATTAACAATGTATTTTTCATGTGAAATTCATTTGGAAAACTAGAGGTAGAAACATATTGGATAATATGTATTGTGACAATATGTATTGATAATATGAAATCGACTATATTCTTTATGTTGTGTTACAAATATTTTCTTTTCATATGTATTTGGTATATTTATATTAATTTGGTTTATTTATATTTATATATGTGAGTCTGGGCAGCAAACAAAGCTAAAAAACACAACAAAATACAACAAAATAGCAAATAACATAAAAACAAAACTATCAGTGGGCGAGTACAGTTTCCCTAGTAATATAAACACTTCATGTCTATGTTCCTGGATCCCTAGGCAAGATGGTAAAGGCATGTCATCAGGCTATTTTGGAAGATGGAACCAATCTGATCTACTGGTGTTCCAAAGGGTAGGGGTTCACAGCAAAAAAAAGATGTCCTCCTGGGTCTCATCAGATCACATTTTTTCATGGGCAGGACTCACAATATATCTTTCCTGTTGGATCTGATAAGAGTGGGTAGATGTGACTAGTGAGATACCTCAAATACCCATCTTCCAGATATGAAGAAGTGAGGCTCTACAATGAGGAATACCCTCTGAATTTCAACTGGCAGCATGTGGACTCATAATTTTAAGAACTGATCTTGTTTTCATCTAACAGTATTTTAGCATTTTGCATTATTAAAAAGGGACAAAAATGTTTTCATTACCAGAACATACATATATTTCAACTACAATTTCCCAGGCACAGTTATCAACATACCAGTAGTAACACAGACTGTCCTGATAACATAAAAAAGTCACTTTAGGACAGAAGAATATGCTTCCTTTTCTGGGAGCATAAGCATAAACTACTGAAAATCTCTTTTCTACCTAGTTGCCCAATATTGTATCTAACCACCATATTTTACCCTGAGCCACCAAAAACATTAAGCCAATCCAGGTGATAAAACAAATACCTACAATAATATATAAACCATACAGATACAAGGGTAAATTTAGATTTGAATATTTAATGGTCAAGAAATTTAACAGCTGGTTTTAAAACAGCAAAGATATTTTGGGTCTCCCAACATGTTATACAGGAGGTTCCCAAGACATTTTACTGACCAGAATATGGTAAAATGCAAGTAAATATTCCATGTGCATAAATGGACCAAATTGGATATTCTATTTTAATTCTGGTGAATGAACAAAATCACCCACTGCACATTCCAGCATCAGGCTATCTTAATGAATAAATTCAGCCTTGCTCTCGGAACAGTTTCAGTTTGTTCTAATTCTCTTCTAGAATTGACTGACAATAATCTACAAAATTGGACAATCTGTTTATTTTTGGCAACTCCAGCTTTGTACAACTGGTTGTTTCAGGAAAGCGTACCTTCAGAGGATTATTTTATTACATAAATGTATACATACAATTCAAGTTATTATTTTCCAAATTACCATAGTATCTTAGCACCAGGTACTTCAACTTCTAGTAAGACTGTGGGTGTGGCAAATCAGTTACACAATCCTTTATTTTACATTTATGAACAATCCTGTATTCACAAGTTTTGAAAACCACCCTCACCTTATTTCCTATAGCCAACTTGCAAGTTCACAGGGAAGTCACAATATATAGTCAGAGTAAGTTTTTAGATTCCCCCACCTTCTATCTGCAGTAACGGGAAATTTGTTAAGTAGAGCAATTAGTCTAGCAGTGGGGAAAATGGCACGAACCCATTTTAAAATTCTTAAACACGAACACGAACACTTCCCAGGGAAGATCTGATTTTGAAAGAATTTGACTGACATTTGTGTGACCGCCTAATCACAGCTACAATGAAACCCTAGATAATTCCACGGCTCCTCTAAACCACGATAACATTTCGGGAAATATGTGCCACCCGAAAACAACCCCCCCCCCCGCCCCCCATCTGCTTAAAGGCCTCTTCTTAGCACGACTTCAAGAAGAAGAAGAAAAGCAACGACGGAGAAGTTGAAGAAGACAAAATGCCCGTTAAACAACAGCCGGCTCGCAACGAACGCCGCACGCGCAAGTTCCTCCGCCCCGCCCCTTTTATCGGCCTGCGATTTGCTTCAAACGGCGTCTGTTTCGTTTTTCCGGTTTGGAGGCGTTCGCCCTTCCGCGGAAGCCAATGAGGAGAGCGGTGTGCCACATGCATTAACGTCGCGCGCCGGAAGCGATTGTTTGTTGCCGAGGAGAAGCGGAGAGGATACTGGTTTGGGGTGTCTGTTGAGTGTGATATCAAGTAAGTCAAAGGTGTTCGCTTCGGGATTCCCCTCCTCTGTACTGCTGGGACCAACTCTTGACTGCTCCCCGGTGCTTTTTGGGAGTCTCCGTCCTCCGCTTGTTTTGCCCGAAGAGGAGCCTTAAGAGGCCTGAGTTTGGAAGACTTGCAGTTTATCTGCTATCAGCGGGGCGTTTTTTCCTTAAATGATATTTTCGTGTTCTTCGCCCATAATTCAACTAGACTCCTTGTCTTCATTTTTTAGCTATTCCTTAATATGGGAGGAAAGAAGAGAAGAGAGATTAACGGATTAGGCACGACTTTAATTTCTTCGAACCAATTTACTAAGTTTGTATTACTATTATATCTCTACTACTAGATTATAATAACACTTCCTAGTACCTATCTCTTTCCACTTATGACTATAACCTTGTTGCTTGTATCTTTACAATTTATATTGTTTTGTTTCCTAGTGTGATTTGATTGCTTATTATAGTAGTAACCCATGACTATCACTGACTGTTGTATCTTATGATTCTTTATGAATGTATTTTTTCCTTTACGTACACTAAGAGGGCATGCACCAAAGACAAATTCCTTGTGTTGTCCAATCACACTTGGCCAATAAAGAATTATATTCTATCCTATCCCTATTTATTTCTATTTCTATTTCTATTCTCATCCAGGTTTGCATACGATCCCAAATCTGTATCCTGTTTTATAGTTATATAGGATAATTTTTGCTGCTGACTCTCTCTTCTTAAAGTCAATGTAGTTTTATATTTAGTACCGAAAGAAAGAGAACAGGGAGTCAGGAAAAAAGTGATGTGGACTTAGTATATATTGGAATGGCCTCTTCAGTACTGTTAGAATATACATAACATATCTAGGAATAGGCTTCAGTAGACAGTGTGTAGGAAGTGAACGTTCCCAACTTTGCTGTAAAGGTTTATCAAAATTATATCAGCTTTTATCTTTCATGAAATGTGATGTTACTGTAGAAGTCAATTCCTGCATAAGACAAGGAGGTGGAGTAGATCTTGAATGTATCATCAAATCTGTATTTCTTAAAATATGTGTTATGGTTGGTAGTAGAACTGAAAATACAGTAGGATCAAATTTATACATAATTGCAAATTAGTGAGCAATAATATGAATAGAATATTAAAACAGTAATTGTGTCCAACCCTCTTACATGTTCTTAGGCATATGTTCCAAGTATGTATTGTGAGTAATATAAATTATTTTTGTCAATTTATTTTAAATCCTCTATAAATAGGTGCCAGATAACTCCATAATTTGTGCTAGTAAATAGTATTCTTAACTATTTGGTGTATTGGACAGAAATGTTTTACCTTTATTGGAATCTATAAATACTTATCTGTCTTGTAGGTAGTGTTTAAAAGCTAATTTTATTATGTTTGCAAATTTTATCTCTTCTAGCAATTTGTTCTGCTACAATGGGTGAACCTCAGCAAGTGAGTGCCCTCCCTCCACCTCCAATGCAATATATAAAAGAATATACTGATGAAAATATTCGGAAAGGTATAGCTCCTAAGCCTCCACCACCTATTAAAGATAGCTATATGATGTTTGGAAATCAGTTCCAGTGTGATGACTTAATTATTCGACCATTAGAAAGCCAGGGTATTGAACGATTGCATCCCATGCAGTTTGATCATAAAAAGGAGCTAAGGAAACTCAATATGTCTATCCTGGTCAACTTCTTAGATCTCTTGGATATATTAATAAGAAGCCCAGGCAGCATTAAAAGAGAAGAGAAACTGGAAGATTTAAAACTGCTATTTGTTCATGTACATCACCTTATAAATGAATATAGACCTCACCAAGCCAGAGAGACTTTGAGAGTCATGATGGAAGTGCAGAAACGTCAGCGTCTAGAAACTGCAGAGAGATTTCAGAAACATCTAGAACGAGTTGTTGAAATGATTCAGAATTGCTTGGCTTCTCTGCCAGAAGATTTACCTCACTCAGATGGAGGAATGAGAATAAAAGCTGAACCAATGGACACCGAAGACAGCATAAACTGTACTGGATTGAATGAACAGCAAAGAACAGTCTCTAGTGTAAAAAAAGATCAGGTTTTAGATAAAGATGCTAACATGTGTAGCATTATTGATGAAATGACATGAAAAAGCTTTGGGAGTTGTGATTTTCAGGGAACCTGCAACTGATGCTAAGAAATTAGAATATGTGGTTTCTTTTCCTTTTGCTATGATAATTTAAGCAGTAATGGAACACAGTGTATAAATCAGTAAATATTGATAATTTATTTGTTTAGTTTTTGCATGTATATCTATGCTTGACTTTAAAGAACCATCAATCTTACTGATAACTTTACCTGTTATGCTGACTATGCAATTCATCAGTATCCAAATTTTGCTGATGGCCATTTATTGAAATATGGTAAGTAGTTTAAGGAATTTAAATACATGTGGTGATTCCTTATTTAGGTTAAATTAAAAGACACAGCAATATTGTTATATATACAAATTGGAAGTAAAAACAGTAAAAAATTGTTATGAATTGTGAATTAAAGCAACTGCTTCTGAAGGTAAGGAAGCTTGCAGCTAACATTAAAAAGAATGAAATTCTAAATTCTTTGAGATAACTGTCTTTAAAATATTTAACAGAAGATTTGATCCAAATTAGCCTTGTATTTTGCAGGATGAGCCATATTGCTTCCTTCTGATTTAAATATACAACAATTTGGGTTGTAAAAGTTGTTCCTCAGATGATAACTGCTTGTTAATGCTGACTTAAGTATATTTGAACTACTGCATTGAAATCTTTGTGTCCGTATGTGTTTACTAAAGAACTGGAAATATGTAAACAGCATTTCCATAGTATGTATATATTCAATATTTATATCACATACCATGCACTTAAAACATTTCTATTTTTCCCCTAATTTCTAAATTTCTGTACAATTGGGAAAAGTTTCTACAGAAAGATGATTATTATGGGCCAAGAAAAAATAGTTCCAAGAACAAATACTAACATATACATACCAAAGAACAAATTAAGTTGTGTATGTTACAAGGTAATGAGATTATTTTTGATCTCTGAAGATTCAATAATTCAATTTTCCCAAATTCCATTATTTACTGGGGAAAATGTGAGGTTGGCAGACATTTTTCCTGACTGCAATCTTTATAGAATTTTTACTTTGCTAGTATGGTGTAACCAGAGGTGATTTTGTACCAATTAAAAGTATTAGAGAAAGTCAGTAATGTTTTGCTTCTATTTATCCCCACCACCATGATTTTATTTCTTTATACCATATATCATGCAATTTAGAAAATCTTCCAATTCTCAAAAGCAGCTTTCCAATAATACTAATTATTTTTGTGCTGATTTTCAAGTGTTTATTTTTCCCTGTATGCTGGGTATAGATATTTTTTATTTTATTGCGTTAATTTGAGTTATCTCAAAATTAGAAAATAGTTTGGTTAACAAAGAGAACAGTAATTAAAATTCATCTCAGGAATTTAATTATGTAAAAAAATACTTATCCAAAAATTGTGCTTGGATATTTTATCCTAGTATAACTAATGATAATTGGTGGCAGTGATAATATTTTAGCTACCTACTACCTTTGCAATGTTGATTCATCTACACTTTATAATATGCATGAGTGCTTTTGCCTCAATGTTCCATCTTTGTTTGGCATTTCATATTTAGTAAATATTAACATAATTGTACAGTGGGGACCAAACCAAGATAGCTTTTTATAATCTGTTTATTTTAATAGTACTTTTAATAGCACTACAGTGCTGAGAATAGATAGAGCCCATGTAAAGAGAAGCAGAAAAATAGTTCTGGATCAAAAAGAATTTATAAACAGCTGTGGAACAAAGAAGTTATTTTTCTTGAAAATAGATGAAAATAATTTAGGATGTGGAAGAATGGGAGTTGACTTTTTTTCTCCCCTAATTATGTACAGCTTGTTTATGAAGATACCTCCAATAGTCTTAATATTTAAATATACTGTTGGAGATGGTTTTTTTTTTTCCTTAGTAGGAAGCAGCACTAAACTGATCGGCTGAGCTCAAAGGCTAAGTTTGGATGTCTTCTCTCAGCAATTGCATATAGATATTAAAAAACATCAGGTTTGGTGGTATCTATAAAAGAACAGTGGAGCCAACCTCCCTTCCCCTCTATAACTTCACTTCCTAATTAAAAAATTGAATAGCTGCAAAATAAATATTCCCAACCATTATAGACAACTTAAAAGGATACCACAATTAATGATATTGAACACTACTGAGGGACTCTAAAAGGATCTAGAGTTATTCTCATGGAATGTATTTCCACCCCATAGCCATGATTCCACCCCAAGAGCCTGGATATTGAACTCTTCTGACCCCATTAGCTTAGCAGATTCCACCAGCAGTGGCCTTATGTAATCCAGGCACATCAGAATGGCTACTGTCATGCCTTTCCATATTAGCTGCACAAATTCAAAATGCACATGGAAATGCATTTGCATTGAGACCCTCAAGAACAATAAGATAGAAAGCATCCTGCAACATAAGAGGACTCATTCAACATCAAGAATTGCCAATAAGGAATAAATAGTTTGAAGGCAAATGGCTTGAGTCTCAAGAGTGAAATAAAGAAATAAAAGAAACTGAATAGTGCTGAGAATAGATGAAAGCCCAAAATTGTGCCTTCAACTTGATATTAAGAACTGCAAACTAAGTTACTTTGCTGCTATTGTTTCTCTAGTGACTATCCAGTACAGAGTTTTCTGGGTGATTAGAGGACTGTTACAATCAGGCACACTGATGGAGATGGATTCTTCAGATGTCTGTTGTGACAATGATCTAAGACCTGAAAGCAAATTCACAGGAGTTTTCTTAAAGCTTGATGTTCATGCTGTAAAAATTAAGGAATGGCATTCAGAAAACCATGAGTGTGTATGTGTGGGACTGGTTCCAGCTGCTACAGTCTAATGATGAGCACAAGGTTTTGGAAAAAGTCTGGCTGACCACATGGATTCTTGACCCATCATGGCATGTGGAATCTAGGTAAAGGGAATTGATTAGGCATTTAGTACCTCTTTGAACAATGGGGATAATGGCTTTAATTTGGAAAATTGTCACCTACTCAGGCTTCAGTGTACCCATTAAATACTTAGCTAATTCTTATTGAAGTTGATTTAAAATGAAGCTTTTTTCACAGTAGGAGTGCTTCTTTAATTATGTTTATATATCCAAATTCACCCTGGTTTCTGCCATAATGACATCAAACCTGTTTTCATGGTTGCTTCTGCTGCACTTTTATTTTTCTATTGAGAAATATTAATTTATTGTAATTGGACTACATTACACTTTGGAAGATTTGTGAGAATTTGGCCTTTGCTCTAATCCGGTCTATTTCAGATTAATTTCACTTCTGTGACATCTAAACAGTAATTACAAACTGCAATTGTGATCTGTCTTGTAAAGGTTTCATTTGCTTACCTATTAAAAAGTTTCTGTCTAAAATGCATTGGCTCAAAGATTGGCCCACTCATCAAAAGTTGTGTCATGGGAAGAGAGAGTACATAAAATATACAATCAGAAGGGAATGAGTTTTTTAATTGGAGTTCTCTTAATGTCATTTTCCCCTTCTCTTAATCTTTTATAAGGTTTTGCAAACTGTCAGCTTAAATTTTGCATAGGTTTGCTGAGAAAGTTAAGTGCACACTTGAGCAAAATTCTAAAATCTTTAGGTAGCTTGAAAAAAAATCCAGCCAACATATTGAATCCCTCAGACCAAAACTATTGAATTAATTTTGGATTGATTAAATTTTAGACTAATCATGGAACTACATGAGTTTGGTAAGGCTTATTATTTACTTAATACAGATGCCTAAATGGCCTCAAAAAGTATTTCTGATGGTTTTGTTAATTTTAGTCATATATCAGTGGAATAAACACCTGTATTCTGTTGTAATATAACACAATATTGGTCTGTGTTTTCCATTCATAAAATATCCTTTTACCAGAAACCAATCTAGTGAGATTGTTTTCTCTCTTCCCCAATCTATGATCTTGGCATTTTTTCCTGAGGAGATGGGCACTTTTCCCAACACAGTACAGGATTTTAACCACATCATTTTACCCCATTGCTTTATTTTTAAGAATGCTTCAGAGGCTGGTGTGAAGTATAAAACTCACACTTAGCTGGAAGGACATGATGCTTTATTGAATCATACTTTAGTAGGAATAAAGTTGAGTATCCAGAATAGAATCCATGCTAAAAGAATCAAAAAAGAAAACAAAAAAAAAAAAGAATCTTCTTTGCTGATTTTTTTGTCTCTTTGCAGAATGATAAAAATATTGCCTGACTGATTTTTCCGTTCCTTTCCTCTTATATCCCAGTGAATTAGGGTAAAACCAATCTGACCTTCTTCCTAATACTTTTCTAGTTTTAAAACGTGCTTTTGTTTTTCTTAACTTTCTTTACACCTTCCCCCTTCCATCCTTTCTATGGTGCAGATCAGGGGTGTCAAACTGGATTTCTTCAAGGGCCAGATCAGCATTGTAGTTCTCCCCAGGCTAGTGAGGGGGAAGCAGCGGGTGGTGGAGATGGAACAAACGTCTCCTGCAACACTCTGCCAGCCAAAAACAGGCCCCACGGAGGCCCCACAAGGCCCCTCATTTTTGGCCTCCCCGGGCTCCAGCAGCACACTGACAGCCAAAAATGGGCTGCATGGAGGTCCCACAAGGCCTCCACGCAGCCTGGTTTTGGCCGGCAGAATGCTGCTGGAGGCTGGGGAGCCTGAAAACTGGCTGCATGGGGGCCCTATGGGCCCTATGCATGGCTCATTTTGGCTGGCAGAGGCACCATGGGCCAGTCCTTTGATATTTCCGGCCCGGCCCCACGGACCTTGAGTTTAACCCCTGGTCCAGATGATAGAAGAAAATTGAACCAGACCAGGTAAAAAAAAAGACAAGGCAGCTGCTTGGAGTGGAGATAAGAGTTTATTTGACAGTAAAACAGGCGATGTAGCCATGACTTTAAAAGATGGGTATAGTGATATTTATAGGAAAGCCTGTTCTTTGTTCAGGAAGCACAACCATGTTTGACTCAGGGGGTACATACTACGTAGAGTCTAATAGGGAGAAAATGCAGCTTTCTCACCCTGTAGGCGTGATAATCTTTGCTCCTTTATGTGTTCAGGTGTTAGTTTTTGGGTGATGGGTCTGGTATTAGAAGAATCACATTGTGTGAGTAAAGGATTTCCAAGTCTTAAGCATTTTTTCTTTGATTATGGTTGAGTTGCTGCTTTTGTCAATTTCTTTATGAGAAATATCCTTAAGTCAATTTCTGCCTATGTGTCAATATAGGGGGAAAAACTTAAGCAGTCTTTGGCATTGTTGTCTGTTGGTTCACTGACGGGTCAGGAGTGGTCAGGGTTTCACACAGGTATCAGGAACCTTTTGCCTCTCATTCAACATGGAATGGAACCCTACTACCTTCTTGTTACCCTCAGGTTTAGTTGGATAAAGTTAAAGTTGGTATGCAAGTGATAGAACAAAATATGTTGTTAGAAAACAAAGGGCTGAAGTTGCTCTCTACCATCGAATATAATCCTCTAGGACTTCCTTCGACAATCCAGTTTTTGGATAGACGGTCCTACTTCCCAACAAAGTGAAGACACACCCATGATTATGCGATTGAAGCTTTGCTTCTTTTTGATGCATCGCTCATGTGATTGCGCCTGCTCCCCCCCCCCACTTTCTATTTTCTAACATAGCAATGGAGCCTGTCTACAGTTCAGAAGCATTCTTAGAAAGAAAGATACTGCTAGAGGTGGTGCTGTGGGGGTGGGGACGACGATCACTATGGATAGAGATTTCCCTAGTCCAGGAATTGAGAAATATACTTGCCATGGAAGGACTTGTACTCACTTCCAAGAAGCAGACACACACTGGCTGTTTGTAGAACTCTTGTTATCAGTGGAGACTTTTATGGGGGAAAATATTGAGCCCTGGTAGGAATGCCAGCACCACATTTGCACCACATTTGCCAAGAATTTGCTATGCAGCATCTAAAAATAAGACATTTTTGATACAGGAGCCTTAACTGTGAAATTACCTTTCTGTTCAGTTTGGGGTCACGTACTTTGTAAGCCTTTCATGTCATTGGACAACATATTTAATTAATTGTTTTAATTAAGTAGTTTGAATTTATGCAGCTGTACCTTACACTGACTCTGAATTAAGGAGGTATTTTACAGTTGTAATTTTTTTTAACCCCAATTTGGAATTATTATGATTGTAATGAAAAAAAGGGAAAAC